AGAAGTTTGTGGCTATAGGAGGGTGGGTGCAGGAGGAAAGAGGAGTGATTGGTGGAATGATGAAGTAAAGGATGTGATTAAAGATCAAAAGGTAGCTTATGAGAGGTTTTTACAAAGCAGAAGTGTTGTAAGAAGAGCAGAGTATATGGAGAGTAAAAGAAGGTGAAGAGTGATGAGTGTGCATAAGGAGAGCAGATGAAAGAGTGGGGGAGGCACTGGCATGAAACTTTGCTGAAAATATGAAAAAATTTTGGAATGAGATAAACAAGTTAAGGAAGCCTAGGGAACGAATGGGTTTGTCAGTTACAGAATAGGGGAGTTAGATGGGGAGCTGGAGGTATTGGGTAGCTGGTGGGAATATTTTGAGGAACTTTTAACCCTTTCAGGGTTGGTGCCGTACTAGTACGCTTAAATCTTAGCACCTTCAAATCTAGCGAGAGAAAGCTGGTAGGGCTACATATGAAAGAATGGGTCTGTGGTCAATGTGCGCAGTACAAAAAAAATCAAGTGGCACACAGTGCATAATGAGGAAAAAAAAAAACTCCAACCGTGTTTTTGGTTTAAAACAGCAACTTTGCACTGTATTTTCATATGCTATTTATGGTTGTATTCTAGTTTTCCTGGTCTCATTTTATAGGATGGAAGACATATTACAGAAATTGAGATGATTTTGATTGGTTTCACAATGAAAAATACCTTGAGCTTAACGTAGCAGAAATGTTCGATTTTTGCCAAAGTTCAAAAGAAAGCAAGTCATGCAATGCGTCCAATACACGTCAACTGGTGAGTCTAATATTCTTTTACAAGTGCACTGATATTATTTGTACCATTTCTACACTAATGCAGTAGTCTGCATAACAGTAAATCTTCTATTTTTTGTGAGAATAAAAATTCAAAGTGGAAAGCAAAAGAAATGTACAGAGGCCTGGAGATGTGACTGATGAACAGAGATGTTATTTTAGTGCTAGGAATATCTCTTGTTTATTCTGAACCCTATTTGGAAATTGGCATCTTTTGAAATTTGTGTGAAATCGGCAAAATTGCCAAATTCTGACCACTTTATTGGATAGTTGAAATCGATAAATGGGTGGTTTCTTGTACTCATTCGATAGAAAACATGGAGTTCTAGCGAAATAGTTATGATTTTTGTCGACTGGTACATTGAAATTGGCCGAAAATAGGGCTCAGTGGGCAAAATCGTCAATGCATAAACATCGTCGAGATCGCTATCTTTGCGAGAGCATAATTCCATAAGTTTTCCATCAAATTTCATACTTTTGGTATCATTGTGACCGGGAAAAGATTCTCTTATCATTTCATAAGAAAAGCAAGAGGGCCTGCCGACCCTGACAGGGTTAAATTTCGATGATGAATGGGAGGTGGTAATTTCATGCACTGGTCAGGGAGGTATAACATACTTTGGGAGTGAAGAAGAGCAGGATGTGAGTGGGGGGGGGGGGGTTGCATGAGGCATTACGTAGAATGAAAGGGGTTAAAGCAGCAGAAACTGAAGGGATCATGACAGAAATGTTAAAAGCAGGGGGGATATTGTGTTGGAGTGGTTGATTTTTTTTTGTTTAATAAATGTATGAAAGAGGGGAAAGTACCTAGGGATTGGCAGAGAGTGTGTATAGTTCCTTTATATAAAGGGAAGGGGGGGGACAAAAGAGATGGTAAAAATTATAGGGGAATAAGTTTACTGAGTATACCAGGTAAAGTGTATGGTAGGGTTATTGAAAGAATTCGAGGTTAGACAGAGTAGGATTGCAGATGAGGAAGGAGGCTTTAGAGTGGCTATAGGATGTGTAGATCAAGTGTTTATGTTGAAGCATGTATGTAAACAGTATTTAGATAAAGGTTGGGAAGTTTTCATTGGATTTATAAAAGGCATATGATAGTGCATAGGGAAGCAATGTGGCAGATGTTGCAAGTGTATGGAATAGGTAGTAGGATAGGGAAGCAATGTTGCAAGTGTATGGAATAGGTAGTAAGTGCCGTAAAGAGTTTTTATGAGGATAATGAGGCTCAGGTTAGGGTGTGTTGAAGAGAGGGAGACTACTTCCTGGTAAAAGTAGGTCTTAGACAGGGATGTGTAATGTCACCATGGTTGTTTAATGTACAGTGGACCCCCGCATAATGATTACCTCCGAATGCGACCAATTATGTAAGTGTATTTATGCAAGTGCATTTGTACGTGTATGTTTGGGGCTCTGAAATGGACTAATCTATTTCACAATATTTCTTATGGGAACAAATTCGGTCAGTACTGGCACCTGAACATACTTCTGGAGTGAAAAAATATCGTTAACCGGGGGTCCACTGTATTAGATGGGGTTGTAAAGGAAGTAAATGCTAGGGTGTTTGGGAGAGGAGTGGGATTAAATTACGGGGAATCAAGTACAAAATGGGAGTTGACACGGTTACTTTTTGCTGATGATACTGTGCTTATGGGAGATTCTAAAGAAAAGTTGCAAAGGTTAGTAGATGAGTTTCGAGGGTGTGTAAAGGTAGAAAGTAAGTGAAGGTAGAAAGTTGAAAGTGAACATAGATAAGAGGGTATCAAATGATTTAGATAAAGAAAAATTGGATGTCACATTGGAGAGAGGGAAGAAGTGAATGTTTTCAAATATTAGGGAGTTGACTTGTCAGCAGATGGGTTTATGAAGGATGAGGTTAACCATAGAACTGATGAAGGAAAAAAAGACGAGTGGTGCGTTGAGGTATCTGTGGAGACAAAAAAAAAAACGTTATCTATGGAGGCAAAGAAAGGAATGTATGAAATTGTAGTGGTACCGAATCTCTTATGGGTGTGAAGCTTGGGTTGTAAATGTTGCAGCGAGGAGGTGGCTGTCCTGTCTAAGGGCACTGTGTGGTGTAAATATTTTGAGTGTGGAAATTAGGAGGAAGTGTGGAGTTACTAAAAGTATTAGTCAGAGGGCTGAAGAGGGGTTGTTGAGGTGGTTTGGTCATTTAGTGGATCAAAGTAGAATGACTTGGAGAGCGTATAAATCTGTAGGGGAAGGAAGGAAGGGTAGGGGTCATCCTCGAAAAGGTTGGAGGGAGGGGGTAAAGGAGGTTTTGTGGGTGAGGGGGCTTGGACTTCCATCAAGCATGTGTGAGCATGTTAGATATGAGTGAATGGAGATGAATGGTTTTTGGGACTTGACGATCTGTTGGAGTGTGAGCAGGGTAATATTTAGTGAAGGGATTCAGGGAAACCGGTTATTATAGATTTAGCCCAACTTGAGCCCTGGAAATGGGAAGTATAGTGCCTGCATTTTAAAGGAGGGGTTTGGGATATTAACAGTTTGGAGGGACTTGTAAGCTGTCGTATCTGAGCGCCTCTGCAAAGACAGTGATTATGTATGAGTGAGGTGAAAGTGTTGGTGATGAAAGTATTTTCTTTTTCTGGATTTTCTTCTTTTTGGGTCACCTTGCCTTGGTGGGAGATAGCCGACTTGTTGAAAAAAAATAAAAATAATAATTCACTTCTGCCCTCTCACATTGTATCTAACTCTTGAAATAGAATTACTACTTCATTACGGTGAGGATTTTTATGTACCATTGTTGTGGGAGGATAGTATTGAAAATAATTATGTAAGGAGAAGGGGTGGCATGAGTAGAGGTCATGGTGTTCACCAACTTGCCCTTGACACATCCAGTACCTGAGTAACGGCCACAAACCATCAGAATGTAATTTAATCTACACTTCTTAATAAATATCTACAAATATGAACACAGTGCATGAATATAAAGAAGATGCACAAAATATCAATGCATTTTGATAAAAATCTAGCAACAAATATTTATAATTCAGCCTTAAGAAAATCATAAAGATTAAATCTTTAAAGAATAAAGAGGCACAATACTGTGACTGGAAGAATACACAAATAACCTGCACTGAAGCTTATGATGGTTATTTCTGCAAGAAATTTAGATTAACTACTTAGATACTCTGCTCTTTACACTTAGAGAGGGCTGTTATTTGTATGAAAGACTGATGTTGCCATATCTGCATAATTTGCTTGCCAAAAGATATTTTTTAATGTAATTAAAATTTGTTTATCAGGCATAAAATATAGTAAAGATAAAAATCTGGATTGCCCTGTTTGGCTAGGTAGAGCAGGTAGCCAAAAATACTTTTTTTTTTTCCTAGACATAAATACTATACACTATTTTAATCATTGATAAAAGAAACCTTAATAAAAAGTTTTTCCTGCAATTAAAGTGTACAAATTTTTACCATGATTTAGTTCATTACTCACTTTTAATCATAGGAAAGCCCCAAACCTTGATGGGTCATACAATATCTGGGGATATGGGAGGCACTAGAAGTATATCTATAAGTTTGTGTTATATAACTTTCTATTTTTGTGGTGTACTGTACAGAACAATGCGTTAATTCAGTTTCTTGAAAGCATTTAATTCTAGGGATTGGGCCTGTGACTACCCAACTACCTTAATTATTTTGGAATTGTAGACTTTCATTTTATGCTCATTGATGAGCTGATGACACTTTAGAGCTTTTTAAGGTGGTCATTGTAAAATTATTTTGCTAAGCAAAGTTACAGCACATATTCATCCTTATGAGTAGTATGTCTCAGAATATTAATGGTGATAATGATGATAATATAATACAGTAGTAACTGACTTGTCCATTTTTCTTTATCACCAGAGCATGCTCATTTGTATAATGTGTCTCTGGCCTGTGTTCAGAACAGGGTAGTGTGTGTCAAGTAGTCTTTCAAATACCACTGATAGCTGCTTTATTGAATTTTACTTACTTTTTGAGTTTGCATGTACTGTATGATATTAGTTACTTTAGTACAAGTGTTATTTCTAAATGGTCAGTGCAAGTACTGTACAGAATATTCACATTTTGCTTGGTTCGAGAGGAGTAAAGTTTTAAGGTGGATTTTTTCTTGCGTATATTTGAGAGCATGATGTACTCCTCTAAGTTAAGTGTAAGCGTTGCTTGTAAATAGCCTGGTTTGCACCAGCTGCGTGAGGAGATGTGGAGGCGCCGTGAGGAGGAACGGCTACTGGAAGAGGAGGAGCGATGGTACTGGGAGGAACGAAGAAGATATGAAGAAGAATGCGAATATCTGGACTGGTGCCGGCGTTACCCTAGAGGTCCACCTGGTCCCCCACCTATGATGCCACCTGGTATGCCAAGACCACCCTTCATGCCTGGAATGCCTCCAATGATGGTAGGATTTCTTTTTATATGTACTAAATGAAACCATAAAGCAATTTAGATGCTATGCTAAGATAGAGAGCAGGATAGCAGATGGACAAGGAGGCTTTAGGAAGGGTAGAGGGTGTGTAGACCATGTGTTTGCAGTGAAACATATAGGTGAACAGTATTTAGATAAGTGTAAAGGTGTTTTTGTGGCATTTATGGATTTGGAAAAGGTGTATGATAGGGGGGCAATGTGACATGTTGCAAATATATAGAATAGGAGGTAGGCTATTGAAAGCAGTGACAAATCTTTGAGGATAGTGAGGCTCAGGTTAGAGTATGTAGGCGAAAGGGAGATTATTTCCCAGTAAAATTAGGCCTTAGACAGGGATGTGAGATGTCACTATGGTTGTTCAATATCTTTATAGATGGAGTTGTAAGAAAAGTGAATTCTTGGGTGTTGGCAAGAGGCATGGGGTTAAAAGATGAAGAATCTAACACATTGAGAGTTGTCACAGTTGCTCTTTGCTGATGACACTGTTTTTGGGAGATTCTGAGTAGAAGGTGCAGAGGTTGGTTGATGAGTTTGGTAGGGTATGTAAAAGAAGGAAATTAAAAGTGAGTATAGGAATGAATAAGGTGATGAGGATAACCAAAAAAATTAGGTACTGGAAGATTGGATATCAGATTGGAGGGAGAAAGTATGGAGGAGGTGAATGTATTCAGATATTTAGGAGTGGACGTGTCAGCAGATGGGCCTTTGAAAGATGAGGCGAATCATAGAATTGACAAGGGGAAAAAGATGAGTGGTGCACTGAGGAGTCTGTGGAGACAAAGAACTTTGTCCATGGAAGCAAGGATGGGAATGTAAGAGTATAGTTATACCAACACTCTTATACGAGTGTGAGGCATGGGTGGTGAATGTTGAAACAAGAAGGCTGCACACGGTGGAAATGTCATGTCTGAGGGCATGTGTAGTGTGAATATAATGCAGAATATCCGTAGTTTGGAGATTAGGAGGAGGTGCAGGATTTCCAAAACTATTATCCAGAGGGCTGAGGAGGGGTTATTGAGATGGTTTGGATATGTAGAGAGGTTGTAACGAAATAGAATGGCTTCGAGAGTGTATAAATCTGTAGTAGGGGGGGGGGGCAGGGGTCGGCTTTGGAAGGGTTCGAGGGAGGGGGTAAAGGAGGTTTTGTGTGAGGGGCTTGGACTTCCAGCAAACGTGTATTAGCGTGTTAGATAGGAGCAAATGGAGACAAATGATTTTTAGGACTTGATGTGCTGTTGGAGTGTAAGCAAGGTAACATTTATGTGAAGGGATTCTGGGAAACTGGCAGGTTGGACTTGATTCCTGAAGATGAGAAGTACAGTGCCGGCGTTCTGAAGGAGGGACGTTAATGTCAGTTTTATAATTTAGTGTAAGCATGCCTCTGGCAAGACAGTGAGAGTGAACGATAAGAGTTTTTCTTTTTCGGGCCACGCTGCCTTGGTGGGAAACAGCTCTGTTAATAAAAGAAATAAATAAAAATTTAATAATAAAAAACTATTCAATATATAGAAATTTGCTTTACCCAGTCATCTTAACGGGCTGTTTCCAGTATAGTACTTTTGTAACACTTTCACTTAAAAGCAGTTTTAGTTCAGTGGGTCTTCCCAGTAACCATTTTTTTTTAAATGTCTGTCAGTTATACCCATAAAAAATCATTAGTATAGTGTACAGTTCCTTCAGATCAGTGATTTTTTCATCATTAATTTTATTGTATAACATATAGGCCATTTCCCACCGAGATAAGGTGATCTAGAAAAGGAAATATTCTCCACTCATTCAGTAGCTGTCTTGCCAGCTATATATTTAAATGTTCTTTTACATTGGTTTGCTTTTCAAGCCTTTAAAAAAAAAATTGGTTCCGTTTTTCTTGTATATACAGCCTTTCCTCACTTAGCGACGTACTTGTTTACCGACTGCTTGGAGTTATGACCAGCTCTTCAACCAATGTACAAACCTAAGTAATGTATATTACAGCTGATTTCCTCTGTTCTGTTTATTACAGTATAGAGTGCACTACTATATAAACACTTGAAAATGTACCAAAAAAAAAAAAAAGTTATAAATGGTGCAAAGGTGACATTAAAAAAATATCTGAAGATAGTAGTTGACACAAACCTACTACTAGTACAGTATGCTCCTCGCTTAATGACCAATTCACTTGCCGACCTACTCTTAGGAATGGAACTAGGTCATTGAGGAGGGGCTGTGTACAGCAGGGCCCTGCTTTATGGCATTCCGCTAATACGGACATATCAAATTATGACTGAAACACTCTCTGGCTCCCCCCCCCCCCCCACACACCTGACTTTCTAATAGTCACTGCGGGCCACCTGGTTTGTTTGCGTTCTCCGTGAGCATAACTCTCCATTATGTCTGGAAACTTCCCAAAATTTCTAGTGTTTTAAAGTTATTTTATATATACTCTGATAATTATACTTGTGTCTACCTGTACCTAAATAAACTTGTGCACCTGCATGCTGGCACAGTGTGCATTAAAATCACTAAGAGTGTTTTATTAGTCTTGAAGGTGCCATATTAATAATGATGATAATTACACACAATAATAATCACTGAGGTGCATTAAATGTCATATATTACATTAATATAGACATTATGATTAATCCATCTTTTTTTTTTCAAAATTATATAATAAATATGCTACTTAACATAAACATGTTAAATACACTCTACAGTAGAATAAATTAACATAAATGCGAGATGTTTTTCCAGTCTTGTTGGAGCGTTGGAAAGAAAAATGTTTTCACTAATTCAGTGCCAAAGAAAATGTGTACACAATAGGGGTACACTAGGGGTAACTGTAACTTTTGTATGCCTTCACTCAGCGTCATTCTTTCTAAAAATGGTGTTACATGAGAATGGGAGTATTTCTCTTTATACTACTTTACCATTGTGGAGACAACTTGTACACAATGTAAGGTGTCTGTATTATGATGTTAGATTCACAGAATGGGAATGAACATGCATGAACCAAGTGCAGACGCGTTCGTCTGTTTACATACTCTGCAGCTCTGTCCTCTCTCATTTACTCTCTCTCTCTCTCTCTCTCTCTCATTTACTCTCTCTCTCTCTCTCTCTTCCTCTCTCTGCTCTCATCTAATCTCTCTCTTTTATCTCTCATCCTATCATTCTCTCTCTGATCTCTCTCCTTACTCTCTCTCTTCTCTCTCTTACTTCTCTGCTTCTCTTCTCTCTCTCTTTCTTTTTTTCTTCTTCTCTCTCTTCTCTCTCTCTGTCTCTCTTCTCTGTGATCCTAGTCTCTCCATGTTCTTCTCCTCTTCTGTCTCTCTCTTGTTCTCTCTCTCTGTCCCTCATCTGTCTCTCCTCATGGTCTCTCTCGCGTCTGTCTCTTTGTCTCCTCACTCTTCTTCTCTGTCTTCTCTCTGTCTCTTGTCTCTCTCTGTCTCTCTCTGTCTCCTGTGCTCTCTGTCTCTCCTCTGTCTCTCTCTTGTCTCTCTCTCTGTCTCTCTCTCATGTGTGTGTCTCTCTCTCCTGGTGTCTCTCTTCTCTGTGTTGTCTCTCTCCTCTCTTGTTCTCTCTCTGTCTCTCTCTCTTCTCTCTCTCTGTCTCTCTCTCTCTCTGTCTCGTTTATTCGTTTTTATATCGTTTACTTGCCTCTCGCCATATATTAAGACTACAAATATTTTATGGTAAGTAATGAGTGTACTGCATATGCATTTTATCACTCTGGGGTGCTTTAAATGTCGTAATAAGTGGGGTGGCCAGGTGGGCTACTATACCTCCCACACCTGACTTTCTACAAAATAAATACTATTCACCTCTCATCCTACATTAAGACTACAAATATTTTGAGGTAAGTAATGAGTGTACTGTGTGCATTTTACTTTCTATTGTTTTTTAATGCCTAGTTCTGTTGCTAACTTAATATGTTAGTGTAAACTTGTTATCTGGCATTTAAATGCATTTATAAGTGGGGGAAAACTGGAGTTCTGCTTTCCAGCAATGTCTGCTTTCTGATGATAGCCTGGAGCCTAACCTGCCATGTAAGTGGGGCACTACTGTATCATTTTCTTTTTCAGTCTTATTCTCCTCCAACCTCATTACATATGTGTGCAGTATTAATTTCTAGTTTGTTTGAGTCTGTAGTAAGCCTGTGGTTGGTATTCTTACTGTATTAGTTTTAAATTATTGTCTTTGTGGCTCTCCAGTGTCTTCCCTTAATCTGTTACTTCCTTTTTTTTTTTTTTTCCAGGAATAAAATTTTTTAATGTTGCAGTACTCTATAATTTCATATGTCCAGTGATACTGTATTCACTTCAGTTTTGTTTCACTGAAATAGTTTCTCCACAGCATAGTTAATAGATATCTGAAGATTTGCTTGTATACATTACTGAGAGTATAAATTGTTAGTTATACAGTGTACCTCGAGTTGCTAACTTAATTCGTTCCAGAAGGCTGTTTGAGTGCCGATACCGAATGAATTTGTTCCCATAAGGAATAATGTAAATTAGATTAGTCTGTTTCACACTCCCAAAAATACTTACAAAAGCACTTGCAAAAATACGCATACATAGTTGTTCGAATTGGGTGCTGTTTGAAACTTAAGGTACCACTGTATTTGTTGTATTATTCACTTTCATATTTTTTGTGACTTTTTCATGAATCTAACCACACAGTTGATTATTAACCCTTCAACTCTTGACATGTAAACCTTTTTCCACAGCCCATGCGAAGACCTGACTCGAGCGATGATAGACACGTTCTAGCAAAACATGCAGAGATATACCCAAAAGAGGAGGAGCTGGGTGCCATTCAGAAGATTGTGTCAAACACTGAAAAAGCACTCAAAATGGTTTCTGACTATTTAGCCGAGGTAGATGCTCCCAAGGAACAACAGGTGAAGCCCAAGGCCAAAAAAGAGAAGGAAGACGATTCTAAAGGAGAAGATGATAAAAAAGATGGGTAAGTTCTAGTTGTAGTTCCTCGTTGGTATAGCTGGGACCATAGCATATAATTGCAACTTAAAAAGTGGTAAGTCTGTTAAAGTATTTGTTGTTTTGTTTTCTTCTTTTTAGAATTTTGATTCCTTTAGCCCCTGCAATTTTTTGGGGCATTTTTATCATGTTTTTCTGACATACTGTTTGATTCCATTAGTATATACAGTATATTGTAAAACATTATATAATTGTTTTTATTCCCTTGTAATATTTTTCCCCGCTAAGGCAGCACCGGTGATACTGTGATGCTGTCTTACTAGTTTTCTCTTAAGAAGTTAATTTAAATGACCGCCAACCTGCAACATCCTTGTACATATTTTATAGTTCAGGCACTGTACTTTTCTGATTCACTAGTTTGGTGTTCCTGAGTACTTAAAATGTTACCTTGCTCACAAAGAGTATTTAAAGGCACAAAAAACTTGTATTCACTCCATTTGTAATTCATGCATGCATGCCTGTTGGATGCTGAAGCTCCTACAACTTAAAATTTCATTTGTATTCTATTTTAACCCTTTGACTGTCGCAACCCCCAATCCTGAGGTGTCTCCTGGTGTCGCAAAATTTAAAAAAAAAAAATTATTTTTTCTTATGAAATGATAGAGAATTTCTCCCGATTGTAAAGACACCAAAAAAACGAAATTTGATGGAAAACTGACGGAATTACGCTCTCACGAAGTTAGCGACCTCGGCGATATTTATAAATCGGCAATTTCGCCCACTTTGAGCCCTATTTTCGGCTAATTCCATTATTCCAGTCAACCAAACTCATAGTATTTGTTCAGAACTCCATTTTTTCCATCGATTGAGTACAAGAAACTGCCCATTTACTGATTTCAACTACCCAATAACATGGTCAGAAATTTGCAATTTGGCCAATTTCACGAAAATTAAAAAATATGACAATTTCAAAATAAGGACCAGAATGAACAATGCAGACATTCCTGGCTCTAAAACAACATTTTCTTTGTTCATCAGTCATGTCTCCAGGCCCCTCTGATATTACTCTTGCTTTTTATTTTGAAATTTTATTCAAAAAAAAAAATAGAAGATTTACTGTTATGCAAATTACTGCAATACTGTAATAATTGTAAAAATCACATCAACCCATTCATGACTGCATATTAGAATGGCTATTTGGACATTTATTGGACAATGACATCATTTGTTTACTTTTGAACATCGGCAAAAATCAAACATTTCCCGTACTTTGTGCTCTATTTCCAGGTTCTTTTTATAGTAAAATTAATCAAAATCACCTCTATTTCTATAATATAGTTTCCATTCTGTCAAATGAGACCAAGAAAACAAGAATACAACCACAAATACTATACGAAAATAGACCACAAAGTCGGCATTTTAATTAAAAAAAAACGGTCGGAGTTTTTTTTTTCTCATTATGCACTGCGTGCTCCAGGATTTTTTTTATATGGTGCACACTGACCACACAGACCCATTCTCTCACATGTGGGCCTACTAGCTTTCTCCTGCCTGATTTGAAGCCGCTAGAATTTATGAGTATATATACGTCAAACACGGTACCTCGTAAACGTATATATACGGTTGCGACAGTCAAAGGGTTAATGTTTGATTGCTGTGTGGTCAGGCCTTTCTACCTTAGTGCTTTACTGTTGAATCTGATGCTTTCCTAACCACAGCCTTATGTTTGGGAATGTCCTTACAATATTTGTATTTTAACTCAAAGGTTCTCTCACCAGTGTAGGGTAACCCCTCTTCTTCCCCAAATAAAATAAAAGGAAATGCTTTCACTGCTTACTCGATTGCTGTCTTGCCGGAAGTATTTTCACGTCACAGTTCAGCAAACCTCACACATCACTGTCCAAGGCCCAATTTAACTCTAAAATACTTTTCCTCTCTCTCCTTTCCCTAAAGTGAGCTTCACTATTCTCATAAAAACTTAACTCCCTTAAGTAACTAACCACCCACTTCATTATTATTTTCAGTGAAAAGAAAGAAGATGGTCCACCAAGGATGCTGAAAGGCGTGATGCGAGTGGGTATCTTGGCTAAAGGTCTTCTATTACGAGGAGACACAAATGTACAATTGGTGGTACTTTGTGGAGACAAACCTACAAGAACGCTTTTAGACAGGGTGGCAGACAACCTACCAAAGCAGCTTGCGGTGAGTTTTGTGTGTGTGTGTGTGTGTGTGTGTGTGTGTGTGTGTTGTATGCATGCATGCATGCATGCATGCAGATGCACGCTAGTATGTGTGCATGTACACTGTGTGTGCTAGTGTGTGTGTGTGCGCTAGTGTGTGTGTGCGCTAGTGTGTGTGTGCGCTAGTGTGTGTGTGTGCGCTAGTGTGTGCGTGCGCTAGTGTGTGCGTGCGCTAGTGTGTGCTTGCGCTAGTGTGCGTGCGCTAGTGTGTGCGTGCGCTAGTGTGTGCACGTACTAGTGTCCATGTGTGCTAGTGTCCGTGTGTGTGTGTGGGCGTGTGTACTTGCCTAGTTGTACTCGCCTAGTTGTGGTTGCAGAAGTAGAGTCACAGCTTCTGGCCCCGCCTCTTCACTGGCCGCTAATAGGTCACTCTTCCCACTCCGTGAGCTTTATCATACCTCTTCGTCAAGCTATGTATGGATCCTGCCTCCACTACATCATTTCCCGGACTATTCCACTTCTAACAACTCTGTGACTGAAGAAATACTGTATACTAACCATGTGATTCGTCTGAGTCTTCAACCTCTAACTGCGACCCCTTGTTGCCGTGTCCCATCTCTGGAACATCCTGTCTCTGTATGCTGCAACAGTTAATTGGTTGATGTGCACCTCGGATGTGCCCTGTGTTATACTTGCCCCAAGAACCTTTTCCTTGAGTGAGGTTTGTAGTCTCTGGCCCCCTAGACTGTATTCCATCTGTGGTCTTCTTTACCCTTCCCCAATCTTCATGACTTTGCTCTTGGTGGGGTTGAACTTCAGGAGCCAGTTTCTGGACCAGGCCTGCAGCTTATCCAGATCCCTTTGTAGTTCTGCCTGGTCCTCATCTGATCGAATTCTTCTCAGCAACATCACATCATTGTGTGTGCATGTGTGCTCGTGTGTGCGTGTGCACGCGTGTGTATGTGCGTGTGCACGTGTGTGTGTGCGTGCTCATGTGTGTGCGTGTGCTAGTGTGTGTGTGTGCTAGTGTGTGTGCGCGCGCTCGCACGTGTGCGCTAGTTGTGTGTGTGTGTGTGTTCGTGTGTGTGTGCTCGTGTGTACTCGCCTAATTGTGGTTGCAGGGGTCGAGACTCAGCTCCTGGCCCTGCCTCTTCACTGATCGCTACTGGATCCTCTCTCTCTCTGCTTCCTGAGCTTTGTCATACCTCTTCTTAGCACTATGTATGGTTCCTGCCTCCACTACTTCACTTGCTAGGCTATTCCACTTGCTGACAACTCTATGACTGAAGAAATACTTCCTAATGTCCCTGTGACTCGTCTGAGTCTTCAGCTTCCAGTTGTGACCCCTTGTCCCTGTGTCCCCTCTCTGGAGTTAACCTGGAGAGAGTTCTGGGGGTCAACGCCCCTGCGGCCCGGTCTGTGACCACCTGTGACCACTGTCCACCTTGTCTATTCCCCGCAGTATCTTGTATGTCGTTGTCATGTCTCCCCTGACCCTTCTGTCCTCCAGTGTCGTCAGTCCGATTTCCCTTAACCTTTCCTCGTACGACATTCCCTTGAGCTCTGGGACTAGCCTTGTTGCAAACCTTTGTACTTTCTCTAAATTCTTGACGTGCTTGACCAGGTGTGGGTTCCAGACTGGTGCTGCATACTCCAGTATGGACCTAACATACACAGTGTACAGTGTCTTGAACGATTCCTTATTAAGGTATCAGAACGCTATTCTCAGGTTTGCCAGGCGCCCGTATGCTGCAGCGGTTATTTGGTTGATGTGTGCCTCCGGTGATGTGCTCGGTGTTATGGTCACCCCAAGGTCTTTCTCCCTGAGTGAGGTCTGTAGTCTTTGTCCACCTAGCCTATACTCTGTCTGTGGTCTTCTTTGCCCCTCCCCAATCTTCATGACTTTGCATTTGGCTGGATTGAATTCGAGAAGCCAGTTGCTGGACCACATGTCCAGCCTGTCCAGGTCTCTTTGCAGTCCTGCCTCATCCTCATCCGATTTAATTCTTCTCATCAACTTCACGTCATCTGCGAACAGGGACACTTCAGAGTCTATTCCTTCCATCATGTCGTTCACATATATAAAAAATAGCACTGGTCTTAGAACTGACCCCTGTGGGACCCCGCTCGTAACAGGTGCCCACTGTTATACCTCTTCACGTACCATGACTCGTTGCTGCCTCCCTGTCAGGTATTCTCTTATCCATTGCAGTGCCCTCCCTTTTACGTGCGCCTGATCCTCCAGCTTCTGCACTAATCTCTTGTAGGGAACTGTGTCAAAGGCCTTCCTGCAGTCTAGGAAAACGCAATCTACCCACCCCTCTCTCTCGTGTCTTACTTCTGTTACCTTGTCATAAAACTCCAGGAGGTTTGTGATACAAGATTTGCCTTCCATGAACCCATGCTGGTTTTAATTTATAATCTTGTTCCTTTCCAGGTGTTCGACCACTCTCCTCCTGATAATCTTCTCCATGACTTTGCACACAATACATGTCAGAGACATAGGTCTGTAGTTTAGTGCCTCATTTCTGTTTCCTTAAATATGGGGACTACATTAGCTGTCTTCCATTTCTCAGGTAGTTGCCCAGTTTCAAGGGATGTGTTGAAGATTGTGGTTAGAGGCACGCACAGCATCTCTGCTCCTTCTCTAAGGACCCAAGGGGAGATGTTGTCCGGTCCCATCGCCATAGAGGTGTCAAGGTCACTTAAGAGCTTCTTCACCTCCTCCTCAGTTGTTCATATGTCATCCAACACTTGTTGGTATATTCCCTCTTGATGTTCCCTTCTGTGCTGTCTTCCCACACTCCTTCCTGTCTTTACTGTAAAAACTTCCTTAAATCTCCTGTTCAGCTCCTCACATACCTCCTGATCATTTCTTGTGAGTTCTCCACCTTCTGTCCTTAATCTGATCACCTGGTCTTTGACTGTTGTCTTCCTCCTGATGTGGCTGTACAACAGTTTCGGGTCCGTCTTGATTCTCGATGCTATGTCATTTTCATACTGTCGCTGGGCCTCCCTCCTTACCTGTGTGTACTCATTCCTGGCTCTGCGACTGATCTCCCTATTTTCGTGTGTTCTCTGCCTTCTGTACTTTTTCCATTCTCTATTGCACTTCGTTTTTTTCCTCCTTACACCGTCGGGTAAACCAGGGGCTCGTTCTGGTCTTCCCGTTGTTACTGTTGCCTTTGGGAATAAACCTTTCCACTGCCTCCTTGCATTTTGTTGTTACATATTCCATCATTTCATTTACTGGCTTTCCTGCCAGTTCTCTGTCCCACTGGACCTCCCGCAGGAAGTTCTTCAACCCTATGTAGTCCCCTCTTTTATAGTCAGGCTTTTCCCATTCAACTCCTGTTATTCTCTCCACTTGCAGCTCTACTATGTATTCAAAGCACAGAACCACGTGGTCGCTAGCTCCTAGGGGACTCTCATACTTGATGTCCTCAATATCTGAGCTGCCCAGGGTGAACACAAGGTCCAATCTTGCTGGTTCATCCTCCCCTCTCACTCTGGTAGTGTCCTTAACGTGTGTGTGTGCTCGTGTGTGTGCATGCTCGTGTGTGCATGCTCGTGTGCGTGCGTGCTCGTGTGCGTGCGTGCTCGTGTGTGCGTGCGTGCTCGTGTGCTCGTGCGTACGTGCTCGTGCGTGGTGTCGTGTGCTGGTACGTGTGTGCGTGCTCGTGTGTGTGTGTACGTGTGTGTGTACGTGTGTGTGTACGTGTGTGTACGTGTGTGTACGTGTGTGTACATTGTGTGTGTGTACATTGTGTGTGTGTACATTGTGTGTGTGTACATTGTGTGTGTGTACATTGTGTGTGCACATTGTGTGTGTGTACATTGTGTGTGTATATTGTGTGCATGTGTGTGCACGTGTGTGTGTGTGCGCGCGTGCACGCACGTCGTGATGTGTGTGCGCTCATGTAGTGTGTGTGTGTGTGTGTGTGTGTGTGTGTGTGTGTGTGTGTGTGTGTGTGTGTGTGTGTGTGTGTGTGGGGTATGCGCCTATACAGTGGACCCTCAGTTATTGGCTGTTCTGCTTATCGGCCAACTCTGTTATCAACTGGTTTTTCGGCTTCCGGTCATAAGCTGTTATTTCACTTAGTGGCTGTATTGGACGCATCCACCGCCAGCCACTTGTGCGTTCCTGAGTCAGTGTGGCTGTGTGTCTGGGCGAGTGAGAAAGCTTCTGCTCATTCATCCAAACATTTCACTATAATCCATTGTTTTTGGTGGTTATTGATTAAGTGCAACTGTGAAATAAGTAATCATGGCCCCAAAGAAAGTTCCTAGTAAAGTTCCTTTGGTAAAGAAAGTGAGAAACGCAATAGAATTCAAGGCAAGGAGTGTAGCAGGCATGCATGGACTGTAGCCGACCCCTACCTCGCCTTCCCTCCACTACAGATTTATACACTCGAAGTCGTTCTGTTTTGTTCCGTTCTCTCTACGTGTCCGAACCACCTCAACAACCCCTCCTCAGCCCTCTGGATAATAGTTTTGGTAATCCCACACCACCTAATTTCCAAACTATGAATTCTCTGCATTATATTTGCAGCACACATTGCCCTCAGATATGATATCTCCAATGCCTCCAGCATCCTTCTCGTTGCAACATTCATCACCCATGCGATGTATGTTTAATAATAATCACTCTTGGGCACATTAAATGTCTTATTTTAGGTTAATGTATATACATTTTCATTAATCCATATATGATGTTTTCTTCAAAATTATATAAGAAATGCATTACATAGCATACAGCATATAAACATAGCATATAAACATGCAATGTTTATGCTATCGAGTTGGAGAGTCGGGTGGAGAATAAACATTACGTTTTCTCTGATTCAGCGTTAGAGAAAACTGAATCTGGCTTCTCGCCCAGTAGCCGCCCTTCATATGCATTTGTTTACAATTCTTGGCATGAATTATTCATTACTTCTCCCTTTGTTTATATTGGCATCTAAAGGTAGTTGTTAGAAACGATTAAACTCGGTGAACATGGTAATAATATGGCTGTGTAGT